ATGGTACATAGCGGAAAGCGTCAGGAAATGTATTTTCTGCTGATCCGTTTTTATATCCATGGACAGCTTATCCAGTAGGGCACGCGACTCGGTGTCAGCGGTCAGCATGGTGAAGAGCTCTGAAAAGGATACAGATATTAGATCAAGAATGGGAATTATCAGTGAGAGCCCTTTACCAATCAGATTCGCATCCTTGTTGTTCATCGCATTGCGAAGAATGCGGCGCAGTTGGAGGGTAATGAAGCCCTCATTGATGATCTTTTTGCTGTGATTCTGTTTCTGATATTCCAGCAAATATTGGGACATAATGTACCAAACATCATGCTCCTTGGCTTTGGTCAAATGCTCCAGGGACAAGAAGAAATCAGCGCGTGCTCCATCAATATCGTTCTTGACATTTTCTGGCAGTAGCTGCTGCAGTTGCTGCATCAACGAATTATTTGAATCCGTCTCAATGATCATGAGCAGCAGCGTACGAGCCAAAAATTTGACAATGGGTAGACTGCCAGTAATCCGTTTCTATAAGATGCATTATATATATATTATAAAATGATTTCGTATGAATTTTAGCTGAGATGATCTCACCTTCTTTTGCGGTTGCTGCTGTGGCTGCACATCGATCTCCTCGAACATGGAGACGGAGTAACGTTTCTTTGACGTTGACTCCACATTGGGTTTCACTTCTAGGGAGGTATTGAGCGCCATGGAGAAATTGAGCGTTGTATCGCCCAAGGCAATGGGAGATCCATCCAATGCGCGGCAGATTTGATCATTAATTTTCTGCTCCTTGCCCAAATAGTGCGTCTCAATGGCATCCATTGGATAGTGTATGACGGCAACGCGCACATACTTTATCAACTCGTTGAGATCACGCTGACGACGGTGCTCGTGCAACATGGCCTCGGTCAGCAGCTCGTAGGCCAGCGGAAAGCACAGGGGATCAGTTTCATTAAGCTGCTGCAACGATGAGTGCGTATCTGAAAAGAAAAGGGGAGTCAATCAAATGAGGTCAATTGACATATATGTAAGCTTAGACTTACCATGCCCATTGCTTTTGGCCTCGCAAATTTGCTGCGCCAGCAGCTCAATGGCAAAGTTAATAAAGTCGTTGCTGTTCGCTGGCACACAGTCGACAAATTCGAGAATGTGATGAGCCAGCGCACAGCTGAGTGGTAGGCAGTTCATGCGCTGGCTAATACACAACAGTCCCTGAACCTTTTGCAAATTGAGTGCGGCGCACAGTTCACCCATTTCGTTGACTATAAAGGCGCAGACATTCAATGTGGCCTGGGCGCGTGACATGATCAGCTCGATGCCCTTATTAAGCAGTTCCAGACGCTTGTGCATCGGTATCAATTCACTGCTGCTCGGCACCTGCAAATTGAACTTTTGGCGCAGCTGGAAGCAATGCTTAATGAGCAAATAGCGCTGCATATAAATCGGATCCACGTGGGGCAGCATGAGCTTGAAGAGCTCTAGCAGATTAATGTGCTCCTGCACTTTCGCTTCGTTCACAAAAGAACCGGAGCTCATCTCGAGCATATTGGTCAGGATTTCAACCACATTGCCGCATTTATTGTCATTATTTTTTGTGTTTAACGATTTGAAGAACTCATAGGCCATTTCAATTTGACCACGTCGAGCCATCTGATAGCAACAATTAAAATTGGCGCTCGTGGAAATCTCTGGCGCCGCTTTGGTCAGCGTGTGTATATTCTGCAGCATGTCCGGTAAGTTTAGCTTGACAATGCGCATCATAAACAGCTCGAGATTGATGTCAACAGCACCATCCGCTGGCCAGCCATACTTCACCTTCATGATCTTTATCACCTGAATCTCATATTCGGCATTGATCTTAATGCTCAGCGGATGCGTCGAGTTCCGCAGCTTGATGAGAGGTGTCACCGATTCGGGCCAAGGCACTGGCGCATTCTGCAGTATTGAGAGAGCGCTCTCCAAACGACTATCCTCATTGTGTAGCAGCTCGACGCAAGCCATTGCACGATCTATCCAATTACTGAGCGATTGGCGATTGGCCACCAATTGGCCAATATACTGCTTGATGGCATTCAATGGCTGGCGACCCTTCTCCTGATAGATGGGATACAGAAAATCCTTGACCAGACTCTGTAAATTATCTAAATGCACGCGCTGCAGTATGCGCAATGCGATCCCATCTAAAGAGTCCTCCATATAGTTGTCCAGCGTAAAGCTAAGCTTGTAGATCTTCTTTAATACCGATAAATCTTGCAGCGCATTGACCAGATCACGCAGCTTGCCAACATTACGCTCCTGCTGTCGACCAACATCACTGTGAAAATAATGTAAGCATTAATTAATAATTGCAGCAATACTTAAGCCGATAATAAGTAACCCACGAGTATATAAATTTAACTTCTTCAAATATTTCCAGGATATTGCTGGCAAACTCTAGACCAATGTCTGGCCAATGTTCGCTATATTGCAGCTTACGCGTCATCTCAATGCTCCAGTCCGTTATGAATGGCATAATTTTGGGATGTGTATTGCTGACTATGGGCACGAATTGACGGAGCCACTGCACCACATTAAGCGGCTCTGTGGTGCTTGGTATAAAGCCCAGCAGCGTGCGCAATTCATCCTCGCTTAGATGTGGCAAAACGCTGCTCGAATGACGACGCCAGATGAGGCAAGCGGTGGGCATATCGGTGCTGAACATACCCTTGATTACCTTCACCAGATTCGTATTGTACACAAACTTTTGCCACTCAGTATTGCACTCATAGGGATCGATGATAGCCAGCGTTTTAAGACGATGCAGCTGCTCATCTATTTCCAGCAAATGCTGCTCATCGTCCTATATTCAAATATATTGTAAACATGTAGAGCTATACAAATATTGCCTGATTATTCACCTCAAAATCCAATCTCTTGTGTATCTCTTTTAGGTAACGCTCCAGAATTTGACGTGAGCTTAAATTGATCATGCGATTATTTTTGATGAACTCTTTGCTCTCGATCTGACCCAGCAGATTGAGCAGCATCTGAAACTTTTGCTCAAGCTCATCGGGCTGCACTCTGTTTGTGTTGGCATTGCATAGCTCGACCAGAACACGTTTGGCTCTGGCTTCATAGATGGGCTGCAGGCACAGCTCAAATTGTATGCCAAAATCCTAAAAGGAAATGCAATGAATTATTATCTTTATCAAACATTTAAATTAAATTCAATTTACCTCCGCCTCATCCAGGCGTCCCTTGGCTATCAGTTTCTTTAAGCGATCACTGGGATCTGTTTCGGAAACCATCATCATCTCCACCTCTGATGGAATTTCGTTTTCTTTACTTGCCCGAGCCGCCAAATAATACAGATTGACGGCACTCTTGGGCTGCCGTATAAGCCAAGTGTGCAGCGGCACTTCGATCTCGTTTTTACATTTGAGCGCTAAAAAAATCAAACCATAATTAAAATTATAATTCAATAAAGTAAAAAAAAAATCTTACAAGGATATTCGACAATTTTGATGAAACGTTCGCCATCAGCTGTGGGCTTAGTAAGTATCAAGAGCTCCACATGCTCCTCGCTGGACTCCATGACTAGCAAATCCTCGATGAGCAGCGAGCGCTTCATTGCCGATTGGCACAAGCTTAAGGTGCGTGTAAATGGGCAAATCTCCAACAGGTGACCGAATTCTGTCAATGCAATTCTGTAAGCGGATGAGCGAGGTATAAGTCAATCCAATAGATAATATATTTAACTTAAACATACATATAGATGTCCATGTTGAAAATACTTTTGATTCTGCCCAAATGCGTGGGTAAACCGATCCGTGTCACATCATTGGAAACGGTCTTAAAATTGAAAGAATCCTGTGCGCCACTTATTATCAAATCGTGATCTGTACGCGGCGCTTCCTGATTGTTGATCGCATAGCCATGGGTGGTGGGCATCTTGAGCAGCAGCGCACTATCTACGCTGTTGGCAGCTCGGCCCGAGGATGTGCGCTCAATAGTCACATCGTCTAGAAGTGCTGCCATATTCTCATTGTCATTCAACGTGACATTGGCTAGAGATTCTAAATGAGTCTCATTTATTTCGTTGAGACTGAAATGCAACACCTGGCTGAGCGAAGAAGTCTTCAATTTCTATTTGGGTTTCACTCACCAGTAGACGCTGCCATTCTTGCATGTGAAGTAAAAGTGCGATCCCAATCTCTGAATGCTCGTAAAAGTGCCGCTGCTGAGACTAATATCTTCCACTTTGATGCACACACTAAATAGCAAGAAGCCCTTTATGTAGACGCCGTGCACTTCGCCGTCAGTGAGTCCACAAACAATAAGATTTCCGCTATTGGATATGGCAATCGCATCGATGTTAGCGCCAAAACTTAGAAAGCTGCACTTGGCTATCAGCTCATCTTCTAGCAATATCAAGCTCTTATCTATGGATATCACCATTTTGCCACTTTGCACAGCGGCCTGAATCGCAGGATATTTTGAAACCTAACCAAACAATAATAGCTTTATTTATTTACCTTTTTTTTTTTAATATCAAATGAATTTACCCCATCTTCGCTGCTTATTTTGAATATACTGCGCGAGGAGAACGCATTCGAAATTGTTTCATCCTCTACCGTAGATGCTTCAAAATTACTCCACATTGTTTTGCACTAAATGTTTTGTTCGCTAAAAAAAATTTAAACCCACCAGCGCCAAAAATTTACGCGTCACTCTTATGCCAATAGTGATGAGATTCGATATCTCTCAATAATTGTACATCGATAGCTCTGTTAGGAATTCAAATGTTGGAAATTTATTTGTGGAATTAATTTATGGGATTGATATTTAATCAATAACTACCGATTTATTAAATATTTTATTCTTTAGTTTAGATTAGCTATAAATCGAAGTTATAAAATTGTTATAAATTTGCTCTTCAATGTAAAATAGATACACTATCGTTATGCTATACACGCGCAAAGCAATGGTCACCTTAGGCAAAAATCAAAGAATGGAATTTTGGTATTAGCATGTTGTCAAAGTACGGTCACCTTGGCTGACAGTAGAGGAAAATTATTTATATTTTAGAATCCACGACGCTTTGCATACGAAAATCATCAAAATATTGTAGTTACGCTCTAATTTTGAACGCATTGATGCATAAATGACAAAGTGTGGTATTCAAAAAGCGAAAAATATGTGTTATTTGTGTTTAAATGGTTACGCAGCAACCAATTTACACATAAAAATATAGCCAGCACCGCGGCCATCAACAAAAACCAAAAACTACGATAGAAATTTGCGTGCGCAAACGGCAATACTGCATGCTAGAAAACTTGAAACGTGCAAACCCTCAAAAATGCGCTCGCCATTTCCAGTGTAATTAATTTAAAAAAAATTGCAGCAAAATTGCTGCCGCTGCTTTGCGGTGGTGGTGCAAAAAGAACATAAAATCGGTGGCAAGAAGAAGAGCCGCCAAGTGAGAAAATTGAAATAAAAAAATAAAAAACGCAAACCAAAGCAGAGTCAAGATAATCAACCGCTACGGAGTGCTCCGATCAAAATCAATTAATCATATCACATCAACATAATAAGAAACGCTCAATTATTGCAACGTGCAGTTCATTGTGTTATTCGTGCTGCAGGTGCTGCTGCTGCGGCTGCTTGGCGCTTCGCTGCTCAGACGCTGCCAACGCTGACGACATGCGCGCGTAGAGTTGCCAGCTCTGAAATAACCAAGGTAGTCGCATTTCTGGCGGCTTCTATCATCACAACACGGATCGACATTCTTTTGGACCCATTTCGTTGGTAAATTGCCGCAGCCTATTAAGTAAATAGCAACACGAGATTCAACGCGTTCCTTGTTTATTTTTTCTTTGGTTTTGGCATACAGGTTGGCAGCCCTGTTCAGCAATCAGCGAGGACAACATTTGCCAGGCAAAAATCTGCCTTTTGATAGACGCGTCGTGATCCCACGGATCGACGACGCCATTAACTAGATATTTCGTTCGCCCCGTTGTTCAAGAAAAGCTGCCACCATTCGGAAGAAAAACACTTCGAATATGACCCACAATATCGGTATGGCGCCATATCGTTTGCCGGGTCCAGCGGGCGGCCTCTGTCCGCCCGATTTTAAACCTCCGCCCCCGACGGATATTATCTCGGCGCCGAGTAATCCGAAGAAACGGCGGAAAACATCGAATGCGGCCAATTCGGCGGCAGCCGCTGCTGCAGCAGCAGCAGCTGCGGCGGCTGCCGCTGCCAATTCCATGCAACAGCAGCAATCGGCACCGCCCACACCTCAGGATCTGTTACCACCGCCGCCAATGGGCGGCTTTGGTGATACGATCGTCGCGTCCAATCCATTCGATGATAGTCCCCAGGTATCGGCCATGTCGAGCTCGGCGGCCGCTGCCATGGCGGCTATGAATCAAATGGGCGGCGCTGGCGGTCCGGGTGGACACTTTGGACCGCATCCGCATTGGGAGGAGCGAATGGGTATGGGCATGCATCCTCATATGCATCCACATCATCCTGGTGCTGGCGGTGGCCCCATGGGCCATGGGCCACACGGACCGCATCATATGGGCGGGCCACCACCTATGCGTGGCATGAGCCCATTGGGACCTGGCGTGCATCCGCATCCGCATGGCATGGGACCTGGCGTAGGACTACCGCCACACATGAATCACGGGCGAGGCGGCGGAGTTCCCATGGGCAGTCCAATGGGTGGAATGGCCGGCATGGGCGGAATGAGTCCGATGGGAAGCATGGGTGGACCAAGCATATCCCCACATCATATGGGCATGGGTGGATTGTCGCCCATGGGAGGTCCAAATGGACCAAATCCGCGTGCAATGCAAGGATCGCCCATGGGTGGCGCCGGTGGACCGATGCCCGGGCAAAACTCTCCTATGAACTCGCTGCCAATGGGTTCGCCTATGGGCAATCAAATTGGCAGTCCGCTAGGTCCCGGACCTGGACCTGGTCCTGGACCCGGCCCGGGTGGCCAACAACAGCCTGGACAACAGCAACAACAACAACAGCAACCACAAAACCCGCAACAGACGCACATGAATAATGGACAAATGGGTCCGCCGCCTCTGCACAGTCCGCTGGGCAATGGACCAACGAATCACAGTCATATGTCCGGCGGACCAGGTCCGGGGCCAGGTCCTGGGCCGGGTGGCTTAGTCGGACCTGGTGGCATGTCGCCGGCGAATAGCAACAACAGCAACAACAACAGCGGTAACATGATGGGCGGCAATGCAGTGAACAACAATAGCAATAGTAATAACAACAACAACAACAACAATGGCAGCAACAATCCCAACAGCAACAGCAACAACAATCAAAATCCTCATCCACATCTGTCGCCAGCGGCGGCAGGTGGACGTCTGGGCGGAGTGCCCAATCAAACAATGCAATCGAATGGTCCAATGCCAACGTCGTCAGCGTCATCGTCTGCTCCATCAGCATCCACAGCGACGACGACGTCCACAGCGGTAACAGCGACCACATCAGTGCCTACGTCCTCACCAGCGCCGCCCGCCATGTCACCGCATCACGCGTTAAACAGTGCCGGTCCCAGTCCGGGCATGCCTAATGCGGGGCCCAGTCCGTTACAATCGCCGGCGGGCAACAACAACAACAATAATGGACCCATGATGGGCCAGCAAATGAACCCAAATGTTCCTATGCAGCAGCAGCAACAACAACAACAGCAGCAACAACAACAACAACAACAACAACAGCAACAACAGCAGCAGCAGCAGCAACAACAACAACAACAGCAGCAACATGGCCCCATGGGCGTCCATATGGTTGGCCAGCCAGGCGGACCCGGTGGACACGGACCTGGGGGTCCCATGGGCATGGGCATGAATCAAATGTTGCCGCCACAACAACCACCACATCTCGGTGGACCACCGCACCCGCAACTTATGAATCATCCGCACCCGCATCATTCGCATCCAGGCGGTCCACCGCCTCACCATATGATGGGACCGGGCCCAGGCATGCATGGTCCAGGTGGTATGCCGCCTCACATGGGCGGCGGCGGTGGCGGTAATCCGCATATGATGGGACCACACGGGAATGCTGGGCCACATATGGGTCATGGTCACATGGGTGGTGTACCGGGACCGGGTCCAGGACCAGGCGGCATGAATGGTCCACCACCGCATCACGGAATGCCATCTCACCATGCACACACACACCCACATCATCACGGTCACGGGCACAGTCCCATGGGTGGGCCAAACATGTTTGGCGGCGGCGGCGGCGGTGGGCCTATGGGTCCGGGTCCCATGGGCAATATGGGTCCCGGTCCAATGGGCGGTCCCATGGGCAACATGGGCGGTCCTATGGGAAAACCCATGACAATGAGCGGTGGCAAAATGTATCCACCGGGTCAGCCAATGGTCTTCAATCCTCAGAATCCTAATGCACCGCCCATCTATCCATGTGGCATGTGTCATAAGGAGGTCAACGACAACGATGAGGCAGTCTTCTGTGAATCCGGTTGTAATTTCTTTTTTCACAGGTGAGCAGAGGTTTCAACCTCGTCCAACCAGCGACTGAAGGCTTATCTCTATTTATATATATGTTTTCCATTTTGTAGAACCTGCGTGGGTCTAACCGAGGCGGCCTTTCAAATGCTCAATAAGGAGGTGTTTGCCGAGTGGTGCTGTGACAAGTGTGTGTCTTCCAAGCATATACCCATGGTCAAGTTCAAATGCTGAAGAGCCACCAATCAACTGCAACAACGATTGTAACCACAAAACCAACAACCACCACCAGCTAGCACTCATTCACTCTGTATAAATATATCCAAGCATTAACTATTTTAATTGTAGACTTTAAGCAGTTTAGGCTATTCACATACATCATACACAATATATGCGCTCACAATAGTCAAAGGTCCCCAACGAAACCATCAATTTAAATGCGACGACTCACTTTATATATATATATATATATATATGTATATATATACCTATATCTATATATATGGCCGAAGCCGTGTTGTGAATTTTCGCTTCGGCCAGGCTCAATGTGCGCATCCTTAAAAAACAAGAAGCGAGAAGAGAAATCAAACCTTAAGAAGAAGTTAAAACAAAATCTGTATGCTAATGTAATATAGTATAGACTAGTATACATATATATATATATAAGTATATATATATACATCTATATCTGCATGGCATATGAGTCGAGGCGTTGTCTGCCTAGAAAGCGAGATAAGCGTAACGGAAATGGAAAAAAAATGAAAACAAAAAGAAATGAATTGAAATACACACTGAAAAATGGCGAATGATACCGTCGAAATTTGTATAGATGATAACGAAAAGCAAATATCAATATACTCCAGTGTGTATTAAAAAAAAAAAAATTAAAAAAAAAAAAAAAAAAAAAAAAACAAATCGGCAATTCCAAGAAGGAGAAAGAGAAAATACGTTAATGTGTTAAGCTGAAGGAAAAGGGCCAGATAAGACCAGACAATTGATTTTACAATTTGTTTTCGAATTATTAGAATTTTAAGTGTGTGGAATGCATGCCTATGCGACACAAATATATATATATATATATATATATATATATATATATATATATATGTATGTATATATATAAAGATTTCTTAAACACTAATTACCGATCTGACAATGAGCATTCAAATTGTAACGTACAGCAAATTTCGAAGTGTCTGAAAAGGTCTTTCGTGTGGTGTTTTTTTACACTTGCGTCAATTTTGCATCAAATTTTAAACAAAAATCAGAAACAAAATATATACAAAAATATTGATTATGTATGCTAAGCTAAAGAGTATTGACGTATCGATTGAACTGAAGAGAAATTGTATTTACAAATATTAAAGATCGAGGAAGAGAAACTGAAAGAAATGCGAGTGAAATCGATTGAGAACAAACAAAAAAGATATATAAATATATAAATAAATTTAAAAATAAAATCAAGCAAAATACAAAAAATCAAACAAAATAAAAAAATAGGAAAGCACAAGAAATTATTAAGTGAATGCAGCAAAACAGAAATAATTTAAGCATAAACAGTTAACGCGTGAATTCTGAATGAGAAATTGTATAAATTGCAACCTAAGTTATTTATAATTAAATAAAAAAACAAAAAATACATACAAAATAGGTTGAAAACTTGAATGCTTTTTACTATGGAAAAGGGATAATGAGATTCCCAATAAATATTATTGTGGGATCAGTTGAATCAAAATATGAAGTCATATCTCTGTATCATATTTACACAAGTTTTAAGTTATATAGAATTCCACTGACCACTGGTAGCCAACCATCAGCCATTTCGAATGCTACAATCTTCCAAAAACCACTCCACGTAATCTTCAGTGCTTTAAGTACCTATATAGTATTAAAGACTTTGTTCATAACTTTGCAGCGAAGAAAAAACAACAATAGTTTGTCTTGTTTCGTTTACTCCATTTCTTAGTTATTATTGCGTATATTTTAATGTATTTAAGTTTTGGAATACTTAAGCTAAAAACGCATAGGTTAAATCATTAATAAACAAATACAAATATAAATTGATTTGATGAGTTTATGCATTTGGGAAACTCACACAACAAATGCCCAAAAAAATGATGCAATTATTTTGTGGCTTGAGGACAATTTCGAACTGTGGCCGATTTCTGCTCGTGCAAGCAAATTTTGGACGAGTTGACATTGTCTTAGGGAGGGCGATCGCTTAAAGCTATAACATTATATATTTTTTGATTACAATTAACTTTGCTTTTAATATATGTTTCATAATCATAATATATGCAGAGTACGCAGCTGTACGATTAGGTCTCTGCATGGTGCGCAATTTTATCCGATCGCTGCCGTTATTAGCTCGGCCACATCCTGATCTGTGCTTCGCACGGTTAAATTTAGCGTCACGCCCTCAGACAGAGCTAATTTGGCACGCACCAACACTTCGATGCCGCCACGGAAGGTGCCTGCAGGAGATGGATTACAGTTAATATAAAAGGCAATACTCAATGCTGACTCTATCGCATACCCGAGCAGAGTACGGTGTGCAGATGCGTGCCCTCTTGCACTTTTTCGGAAAGATTTGCAGGGCCCAGACCCAGTAATTTGATAATGGTATTCACGGCATCCTGCAAATTGTTCACAGCAGAGAGCACAAAGGTGTCCTCGGCTTGGAGCCATTCTGTAAAAGCAAATGTCAATGATTCATATAAATTTGAGTTTATAAGTAATACGCAATATATATATATATAAATTCAAGCAGACCTTCGCTGTCGGCAGCATCCCATGCCACTTGGAAATTATTCTTCTTCGTTTTCTGTATTTGGTCGGCGACTGTGATGTCTAAGTCCTCCAGCATGTACTCATCATCGTAGCCCTCATCCGAGTCGGGCTCTCCAGTAACAGGATCGCAATCCTTGACCACAAACCGTAAAGTTGCGCCAAATGTAGCTACAAAAGTGAAAAAGAAAAGGCCACAAAATTAATTACTACTAAATCACAAGAATTTTTAGATTAAGTTTACCTATGGAACTACTGACATCTCGCGGAAATTCGACAATTACGAATGTTGTCTGCAATTCGTTGTAGGCCAATTTTGGGCAGGGCACTATCTTACGTATTATAAAGCCCTCGGGCACCGTCAGTTCTACACGGACATTCTCCAGAAACTGTTCGGCGAGCGTATTAAGGCAATCAAATTGTAATACAACAAACTCAGCAAAGATGTGCTTGATGCACTGCACCGTATACTCCGTTTCGCTTTCTGTTAATTGTATTGGTGCTGTGCTTCGATGAATGGGTCCCAAGACCTGAATGCCCGGTAGCTGAGCCAGACGTGCGGCACTCTCTTCCTCTCGCGTGATTTTAGGTGCTCGCGGTGCACTTGTTACCATCATCACATCATTGGTGATCTCTGGCTTTACGATCGCGGCCTTGGGCACAATGGAAATGTCGAAGTGATTTTGCAGATCCCCATTCAGATGATCTGCCAGCGCCTTCTCTAGCAACGCCAGCGAACAGTTCTCACGTTCGATTATGTAGTTCTTGTACAGTTCCGGCTTGGCCGAGTTAAGTATAGTTAGATAGTATGTGGCACGATCGCGTACTTCATCATCTAAATCCATCTGACAGCGTCCAAGCAGCACTAAAATGTTGGCCAACAGGGCGGGACACGAGGCACCAAACTGTGCCAGGGCAGTCACTGCAGCGGCGCGTACAATCGGACTCTCCAGAATAACGCGATTGTATATGAAGCGTATGTATTTGGAGGGCGTGGCCGCAAATGGTCCCTCTTTGCCAAGCAAATGCAGAATGCGTACGGCTAGCGAGACGTGCTCGCAATCTTCTATGAATTCGCACAGATGCGACAGACCGGACTCCTTAGCATCGACATTCTCTTCGATGATCGTTATAATGGTGTCCACAATGGAAGTCTTGTATTCCAGACCGCCCTCTTCGCGCAGCATGCCACTAAGGAAGTTCATTAGCACAGTGTGCTTACGTGGATATTTGGCGCACAGGGCACAAATGGCATGCACCACCACAACCTTGAACTCATCGGAGATTTCCGCCACAAATGTTGAGATTTGCTTCATTAGACGCTCCACTGAGGATTCGGCGCCGGTTTTCAACAGCGTAGTAATGGCTAGCGTAGCCACCGAGCGATTCGTGTCGGTAATCAGACCCTCCAAATCCAAATTGCATGTAGTCACAGCGGCCGGATGAGTCATGGCCACCTTGTTTAGGGTACGAACGGCAGCAAAGCGAAGCGTCGCCTTAACCGAACTGCAAAACAGTTGCAGTATGGAGAACGCTGGCGAGAGCATGCGTGGATTTGTGTTCTTCATATTAACAATGGCATGGGCCGCTTCATATATGACCATTTCGCTCTTGTGGCGCAGACAGGACTCGATAAAGGTGTACAAAGGTGAGTCGGCAAGCTCTTCTGCAGGTATGTCCTCCTCCTCGATCAGTTTGCAAGCAATGCGTATCTGCAAACAAATATTTTAATAGGGGTAACCTAATATAAAAGATTCCCACTTACCAGCATGCACACTGCGTATGGACTCTTGAGCGATCCACGCGTCAATTTGTTAACCAACTTGGAGACGGCCAGGCGATCCGATTTTCGTATATGATAGAGCAGCCCCAGAGCATGATACTGTACCATAATGTTATCGCTATTTAGGGCTTCCTGAGCCTCGTTTGCCCAGCGTTTGACAACGTCGCCGGCGGTGTTAGCCAGACGCAGCGAACTAACCAAAGCGGCACACGAAACAGCCGCATTTTTGTCCACGATGCATTGCTTCATGTAGCGCTCGACGGCCTGGAGCATTGTGTGATCTGTGATGCTGCAGAGGGCACGTATGGCAGCGGCACGGTATAGGTCTTCTTTGCCGGTCATGTCCTTTGTCAGTGAGCTGGTCACAATGATCACATCCTCGGCAATGGAGCTCAGCTCCTTAATGCCCAGATAGACCATGCGGCGCAGCACCACATCTTTGGACTGGAACAGCTTGGTCATGGCAAAGAAGCAATCAGTTGCCTCTCTGGCTACCAGCTGCTCGCCCTGATTAATCAGGTAGAGGATCTTGGTGAGAATGTGGATGCATTTGCGTGCATTTACTGGAGTTTCATTAAATGTACGCGTCTCCTGCAGCACTGAGGTCTTCTCCAGATTTTGGTACGCATTCGTGGGACCTGTGGTATTCCGTTTGTTTCGCGAATTCGAAATAAAATATTTCATTTTATGTTTTTATCGAACCGGCAGTAGGCAATAAATATCATTAGAACTTGAAAGCAATTGAGTGTAGAGTGTGTTGTTCGGGTTTATTTAGTGTCTGTTTGTGTATGTATGGGTTTGTTAATATTGTTGTGCTCCGGTTTTTATAATTGCCAGCAGAGCACCTTCTTCAATTATTAGTTGGCAGTTGATGTTTTGTTGGCGCTCCGGCGTCACTGTTAGTACAATTTCGGTGTTTGGCAGTTACTTACCGTCCTCCTCCTCATCCTTCTCGCGACGAAATGAACCCATTCTTGTGATGCTTACTTTAGAAACGTGTCAAAAATAACGAATTTAATTGTGAAATTGTATAAAGAAAAATCACTGATTTTTCGCTATGCGTACACGTCACACTACACAGCAAGAAGAAGTCCAGTATTCACCATTCAGCTGTAAACGTTGCTGCCTACTTTAACATTTGTCCCACAGTCACATTCATTGTTCAGATGTTTTGCACTATCGATATATTCAATTTGATTTTATTGTAAACAATATATCGACATGTTTCATTTTCTTTTAAGCTGAATAAAAACTCTAAATTGATGTATTAGCTGTTTTATTGCTACTCATTCCCTTATTGTTATTTAGTGCCTAATGGCGGAATGAAATATGAATTCCAGCTAAATTTGTTTACTAATCGAAGTGCATGTCTAAATATCGAATTTCGATTGCTAGCATCTATGATTTATTACGATATCAGCATATAAAACCAAAACGTTTTCATGACATTTATTTTCATGTGAAAGAAAATCAAATATTAAATAACAAAATAAAAAATGCGTTCGCGCACCAGAAGCCGCTCTCGTAGTCCACGAAGAGATCGACACGACTACGACAGATCACGTACGCGCACCGAAAGGCGGGAAGCTCACAAGCCGGTGGCAGGATCTAAGAATAGAGATCGAGATAGGCCGCACAAAAATGGGTATGAGAAGTCTCCTTCGCGGCAAAACCGTCGCAGCTCGAAGCAACGAGATTCGCCTCCACGACGACAAAGCGCGCGTGACCGCTCATTGAGTACTGGGAGCAGTAGCAGCAGCACAGGAAGCAGCGTTAGTAGCAGCAGCAGCTCAAACAGATCCGCCTCACGTAGTCGAAGCCGCCATCGCCACCGTAGCCGAAGTCCTGTAAAACAGAGAAAGGAGTCTGTTGAGCGTTGGCCTAACGACCGCTATCACGAAAACAACGAGAGGCAAAGCAATCCATTTCGAGGACGTGCACCGGAACGTAGCTTCATAAACGATCCGGCTGAGCGGCCTAGTAGGAAAAATTATTCACACCGAGGTGGCGGTCATCCGAGGGACTCGAAGGCTTTAAGTGCGAGACGCGCGCAACGTGTACGCATTGGCGAAGAAGGCGTGCCAGAGGTTTGGGGCACAAGTCCGACGCGTTCAAGCACCCATGATGTGGAATTGGTTAAGGGTTCCTATGTGGGGCCCAAAAAGAAGAAAAAGAAAAATAAGAAATCATCCAAAAAGTCAAAAAAGAAGGCAAAGAAAATCAAAAAGAAGAAAAAGAACAAAGGCACTTCCAGTAGCTCATCTGACTCAGCCTCCTCAAGCTCATCCTCATCAAGCTCCAGCAGCGAAGATAGCTCAAGCGATGATGACGATAGTTCAGAGAGTGAGGATGAGGAGGAACTTTGGCTAGAAAAGACAGCGGACGGCATTAAAAAGCCGCCAAAAAAGAAAGCCAAAAAAAGCTCAAGTAAAAAGAACAAAAAAAAGAAGAAGAAGAAGAAATCGGAGTCCGAAAAGAAATCTTCATCTAGTTCATCAAAGTCCAAGTCAAAAGCGAGTGGATCTAAGATCGAGGAAGACGTGGGTCCGGCTTTACGCTCTGGCGGCAGCCTGAATCAAAAGGACTTTGGACGAGCTTTGCTTCCGGGTGAAGGTGCTGCAATGGCTGCTTACATTGCGGAAGGCAAGCGCATACCTCGACGTGGAGAAATCGGCCTGACATCGGATGAGATTGCCAATTTCGAATCAGTGGGCTACGTGATGAGCGGCAGCCGCCATCGTCGCATGGAAGCTGTGCGTATTCGTAAGGAAAATCAACTTTATTCGGCGGATGAGAAGCGTGCCCTGGCCATGTTTAGCAAGGAGGAGCGACAAAAGCGCGAGAATAAGATATTAACACAATTCAAGGACATGATTAACTCCAAACTGCAAGCTAAGGATAAGAAGTAGTAATATGACAGTAGTACGAAATTAAAATTTATATTTATGTCGTGCTAAACTAATTGTAAAAAAAATGGTACAAATTTATTTTGTGCGATAATATGTATGATTTAATTGAGAATATTATTTGTCTAGAATTAAAAATTGTAAAAAATAAAATACTTTTATCATATCTCTATTGTCTAATTTCCATTCTACATTGAAAAAGATTTCAAAATTTGCTTAGAAGAAATCGATAGTTAAATGGTTTACTCATAAAAACTATTATATTTATGCAGATTAATTGTAATTAATTAATTAATTTCGTTCATATTTCGGCGAAAAGTTAGCGGTATTATTATATAATATTTGCGGTATAGTGAATGGAAAGTAAAATATGTATATTACATTTAATTTATTTATTTTAGCAACTAACATTTTTACCAGTTCAGATTTTCAATTTAATATCGGGCAAACTTTCATTAGACCGTTCGAAAAATGTAATTCTTTTTGTTTAATCAAGGCTCTTAGCAGTTTTTTTGACAGAATTTTGATCGTATTAAGGATCTTGGATTTTAAATCTAACCGCTCACTTTTGTCCAGCATGCTTTTAACTATATGCATATAATAAAATAGTATTTAAAATATCAATTTTATCATATAAAAAATACCTCTTTCCATAATGTGGTTCCGATATATGATCTCCACAGTCACTGAGTTTGATTGATTAAAGGCTTGTAACAACAATTCAGTTGCTTTACGCAACTCTATGAGTTCTTTAGCATGCAAATCATTCTGGTTCAAGGTCCTGCAATGGGTCCAGCAACGACGTTCTTTGTTGGACCCCTTACAAGACGACTGCGACAGAAGACTTGCTTCGCGTATCTCATTCAGTTTATCCTCGCTCAATGACTTTAACTCATTTCCGATGGAAACCAGAGATGGGCCCAGTCCATTCATTTGCTGCGACAGGCTCGACTCGGAACCCTGTTCCTCCTTACAGTCAATGGGGATATCCTCGGCCTCAAGCTCATCTAACAAGGATACAGTGACGAAAAGCTGTAGACCGAGTTGTCAAATGTTAGGTAAATAATAAAGGATAAAGCAATTTGTTGGGGGGGAAAACAGGAAATATATAGAAAGAGGAAATCAAGAAACTTGAAGAATAGAAGATATGCAATGATATTGAAGAAGAGATATGATAAATTCATCCGTATTGTTAGCCAAGAATTTTAATTGTTATGTAAGATACATCGACGTTTTGCTGCAGATTATATACATAAATGCAAGCTGGCTTACTTACTTTTCTTTTTAAACGTTTAGCACAACTAATCATTTTAGCATGCAGATCTGCTTTCTGATTGTCTTCCAGTAAAGCTTTCATGTGCGCCTCATTTGATTGCAAATTGTGAAGAATTTTTTGATTGGCCTGCACGATATTCTTTAGATTGTCGATCTCTGTTACAAGTCTGATATTATACTTGTCGGCCTTTTGCAACATTTGCTCCACGTAATCCAATTGCTGATCAAAGCCCACGAGCATTGCACAATCGTCTATCGTATCCATTACGAGGACTGGTGAGCTTCAATGGACTTTAATTTAATTGCTTAATAATTTAAATTTTTTGTAATTTAACCAAATGTGATGTTCTAAATAAAAACAAAATTCAAATGTTTCTGAAAGAAATCGATATTTCTATTATACATACACATCGATAAATACACAGTACTATATCGATAGCTCATATAACTTCCATTTCAAAATGTTTTAGTACATCTGGATGTACTATAGAATAAAACGTTTGTTGCAACTTATGATTATTTAATAAACTATTGGACATATCTGTATGTACATTCTAAAGACACTTAGTATAAACTAATTTAACTTTAATGTAATAATCTTTTATCTGCAGCTCATCGCATTGGCAATTACCACCATTTTGCGCACTACGTAGGCGTTCGTGCCATAGTACGGATCGATGTCCTGTTTCCCCATTGTTACATCGCACTCCATGCGCGTAGTTGTCGGTGCGCTGTAATCTTCGCTGGCTGTGTCTAGGGCAGACGCATGAAACTCTAAGCAACGACTAAATGTTAGAATCTCTTCCAGATTGGACACCTTAATGCCGGCGCCTGGCATTATAATCATGTCACGATGATGCTTTGCTATTAACTGTGCTAAGGCTTCAACGCCTTCGGCAGCGGATGCACGAAAGCCACTGCTAAGCACACGTTTGAAGCCCAGTTCCTTTAGCAATTCGACATTCTCGTGCATATATTTGTTGTCAGTGAGATCGAAGGCACGATGAAAGGTTACAGGCAGACCATACGACTGCTCCATTACACGTCGACACTTGTCCACATCGATTGTTCTCTCTGGAGTAAGCGCGCCAAAGACAAATCCATCAGCGCCATGGGAACGCAGTAATTCCATGTCGGTTAGTACCGCTCGCAACTCTTCCTCGCTGTAGACGAAATCGGTGCCACGTCGCGGGCGCAGCATGCAATGTATTGGCAAAGTAAACGGTAATTCTTTGAGAGTCTTCAAAGTTCCAATGGTGGGTGTTAGGCCACCCTCCTGTAGGGCGGCACAAAGTTCAATGCGAGCCGCGCCGCCTTCTTCAGCCGCAAATGCTGATTTTATTGAATCAACACATACTTCCAACTTTATATCATGAGCTGACATTTTGCAGCGTTTAAATAAATTAATATAATTGTGTTGTAAGTATTTGTTTATTACTAACACTGTTTATTTCCCAACTTTTGCGTGGTTTTCACAGTTTCTAGTTAACAGCAAACTGAACATAAAGAAGAGCAATAACAGTTTCTGCTAAATTCGTTTAGTATCGAGTAAAAATGTTTAAGAAGTTAATTTAGTTTTAAAAATTCTACAGAACATTACTGGTAGCTGCAAACAGCCTTAAAGCGAACTGAACTTTAGATGTTTGCTTTTTGTATTAAGACATAACGTAAGACACTGACCAGTGTCAGTGCGTAAGATTAAATAATTTTTTGTTTTATTGCTAAAGCAGTGTCACAGTGCTATAAAATATGCAAAGTATCGTAAATTTAAACTGCTGTTTCCCAAAATGCGCTGCCAGACTATCGGAATGTTTGCCTGTGCGTTACATCGATTCATCGATATAGGGCAACATACCCAGACGCAACACAACTCTGTTGTTCTAACCTCAAAGTGGCTAACAAACAAAAGTTGGCTCAATAATAAATATATATTTTGTTTTGCCATTGAATGCAAATTGTTAATAATAGTGAACCAACGATGATGTGTACGCGATTGAAACATTTACAAATTTAAAACCAACCAACAAGCAACTAAACGTCCATTGAAGTCAAATAACAAAAGCAGCAGCAGCACAAGCAGCAGCAGGACCGAGGCAACATAAATACAAATACACAAAAAAAAAGACCAAACACGCCAGTAAATAAATAAAAAATACAAAACCCAGCAGCTGAAAGGCATATGCATTAAGCAAGTGTGAAGTGCTGAACAATGTTTTAGTTAATTTCAACTTATATTTCTGCTACTTTGGATGTGAAGCTGAAAATGAAAAATGCTTTAAATTACGATTTTCATTGCGTTCTCTCTGGCCGCGAGTTGCCAGAGGAGTTGCTCGAGACATTTTCTACTCCTGCCACAGCACCACAGTGATTTAAATACAAAATATACGTCCGTCGTGCAACGAAAAATGCTCTCAAAGACAATCGCAATAAATATCAACAGCAACAACAAAAACACCTAACGAAATCAGAGTCCGCGTCCATCGGTGCTGGTGACTGCAAAGACACCCATCACTAATACCTTACCACATATATAACCGGCGAGTGCGACTGAAACAGAAGCTGTTGCTCGTCCTTTGCCTTGTTTTTAGCATTTAATTTGATTGTTTGCCATTGTCGTGCCTCTCCGAAACACTCTTGTTATAATTGCTTTTCATTGTTTACGTTTATTGGCACATTTGTTGAACACTCTTAGCTCATTTTATATTTAACATTTAATTGTGCAATTTCCGAGTTATAACGGTTTATAGTTAGAAAACAAATCCCTTGTTGAGCATTTATATCAAAATGAGATCTTCCTTGTCGCATTTGCCATCGATATCACGTCCAGCCGCTACAGCCACAGCAAGAGCAACATCAACAGCAACAACAACAAAAACAATAATATTATTAGACCCGTCCAATTCCAATATCTCGTTACCATCATCAATGCATTTTCCACGCTCGACGAGGACCATTCGCTATCAAGGAAAACAAATGGCATAAAAGCAATTTGAATGTACGTATCCAATATTTCAATTACTAATTAATAACTTATCATTTTGTATTGGATTGACTTTTAATAGGGCAATAGGTGTAGATGATGTTCATAGTACTCGTTAATAGAAAATTTGATTTAGCTGTCGATATTTTTAGATTTGTTGCGCCTAAATGGGCGAAACAATGATAGAAAATAAAAAAATAATTATGCTAGTTTTAAATCTGCTATACATATCTGAAATTCGAGGCGCTAAGCCTAAATAAATAAATGAATAAATAATAACACTAACGTTACACGTTATATAGTTATTCCAAGTGTGCCATAGATTGTGTACCATTTCATTTCATTGGGTGCTAATATGCTGTCTTCATTTTCTGAGCGTGTGTAAATGTATTAGTGACTCAAGGAATATGAAGTCTTTGTTACAGTTTCATACTAGAAACTATTAAGAAATTAGATTCAGGTCGGACATTTAATATTTAGTGGGCGCAATTATTATTTTTTATTTATGATTATATATACATATAAACGCTTGTGTGTGCTTACTATGAGAACTTAAATGTTTAATAACTTTTCTTGTGGATGTCCTTTCACTTCCAGATTATGATTATACCATGGATATACTTGCATTTGCCAAAGCACAAGTCTCTAGTATTTAAAATACGCCTTTTACAAATGTAAGGATGAGGGGGTGAATATAAGAGTGAGGGGTAAATTGTGAAAATAAATTGAAATTCCATAAACAGCTTATGAATCTACGTTTAAAATTGGGCGACTCTAGCTTTAAAGATGTTGTAGATATAAATTTAATACAGATAATCGTTTTTAATCGGTAACAAAATAACGGGACAAGCTATCGGTTTTTGAAGCAAAACTCGATATCCGCGTGGCATACACGGACATTTTACAAAAAAATTGAAGTCTCTAGCTTTTATATCTTCTGAAATCCACACAACTTGCTGACAGACGGACAGACAGATCGCCCTAATCAAGAATATATGTATATACTTTGTGGGGTCTGCCACGCCTTAACGCATTTACATACATTTCAACAAAACCATTATAAATGGGTTCACGGTATAAAATATATAGGTTGAATCATTAAAATTATAATTAATAATGAATAAAATTAGCTTGCAATTATTGATGAAAAATAGTTACTAAAATACAATAAAAATTTATAAAGCGTTAGATTAAATCGGTTAAAAGAAATGAAAATTAAAAAAAAAAATTATAAAATTTTTTTCTATTAATGCTATTCTGTCCTGCATTGCATTTAGCTCGTTTAGAGCGGAGTGCAGTTGTAACTGAGGTATCCTTTAAAGCTGGCGAATGTGAAGTCCGTGACATAATTACTCTATTGTTTTTGTCCAAAGAATATACTTTGCCACTAACATTTTATAGCACTTGATAGTCTTGCTCATATAATATATATATGTATATATTCTCAATATTTCCGCTGTTAGCCTATTCGAAACAGCCACAAAAATGTGTTTTCGTGTTGGAATTTAAATTGGATTGCTGAAGAAGAAATTCAATAAAATATATTTTGTTTGATTGCATTTACGCATTATCTATTTGAAGTCGTGCGAGAAATATTTGTAAATTCACCCTTCGAGGAATGTGTTACAACACAACTCGAACCCAAATCAAACCACATTTTCAAGGGTGTTTCAATTTGTTGTGCAGCCTCAAGGGGAGTTTTATTGCTTTCTTCGATTGTTATAAATTTGTAAATCATATTTGCATTGGTACATCAAAACGTTGAGTGTCTATAAAATATTTAACACCCCATAAATATTTTATAATTCCTAGCTAGTTAAAGTATCAGTTATTACTTATTTTGTTATATACTGGAATAAATGTATTGTAGTTGTAATTCAAGGTATATTGACCTTGTTGAGCTGCATGAATTAGACAGAAGGACACGTGTCCTTAAAGTATAGATATTATTGATCAAGACCAACACGCGAACTTTAATATTAATTTTGTATATATGCATAAATAATATTGATAATAACATAGCTTCATCATATTATCATTATTAATTTTGAAGTTATTAAACTTACGACAATTATTATTCAAATTAAAATTTTGTCTACAAATAAAAGGTGTGCCCCGCATCTGAATATTTAGGCAAGTGCATCCACAACAAAAATAATCAAATAATTAATTTCAAATATTAGAACATATTTTTCAAACCAGGCTTCGCGTCAGTTTTGGGATATTTCCAAGTTGCTCCTTGTTGACTATTCACTCTTGTTTAATGCCTTATCCACTATGTTGAAAATACAAATCATAGCTTTGGAAAAATTGCAGTTTGGTTTCGTTTTCTACTCTAACTATATATGGAAAGGGCTGTTAAAATTTTAATTCAGTTAACTTTTATAAAAATAACTACTTTAGTTTGATTAAATAAATTTGTTATTTAAAAAATTTATTTTATAATTTAATGAAAAAATCAAAATCAATTTCTTTTCTTTGTAGAAACTGCAGTTTGTAGAATCCCAAAATCTCCTTTAAATCCACACAAATGCAAATTACACATGTAAGTATATAATTTATAATATATAATATATAATATATAATATATAATTTTTTAATAATATAATAAAGAATATTTTTTGTAAATTTTATATAATATCCATTTTTTATACCCTGAACCCATTGAAAATGGGAAATCAGGGTGTAATGGTTTTGTTAAAAGTATGTAACAGGCAGAAGGAGGCGTGGCAGACCCCACAAAGTATATATATTCTTGATCAGGGCGACGAGCTGAGTCGATTTGGCCCTGTCCGTCCGTATGTATGAACGCGTCGATCTCAGAAGATATAAGAGCTAGAGACTTGAAATTTTAGTTCCTAGGTCCGTGTATATCACACATATCAAGTTGTTCTTTATATATCGATAACTACTCCCAATATTTTATTATCGATTAAAAACCGTATCGAAAGCTAGTTATTTAATTATATCTCCTACACCTTTAGAGCTAGAGCTTCCAAATTTTAAATGTAGACTTATATGTATTTTATATAATTTCGATTTTTGTTGTAATTTACCCCCTACCCCTATATCCACCCCCTCACCCTCACCTTTGTAAAAGGCGTATTTCAAGTACTAGAGACGTGTGCTTTAGAATGTACACACATTTTCATCATATGATTACGCTCTGAAAGTTTTATAAAAATTGTACGTCTAGAAATTAAATTATTCAACAAATAAATTCTTATAATGTTGCCCACACTACAGCGCAGCCCAAGCGCAGTCGCTGCTTACTGCGCAGTTAGCAGAGCGCGTTCTACTACGTGCGTGTGTATGTATGTGTGTCGAAAAGAAGTGCAGACTGATTAGAATATCAGATTAGAGGGTTCAGGGTATCTCCTATTTGAGCAGTCTCGACTAGAGTCTTCTTACTTGTTTAAAACTATAAGCAAATTTACATTTTACTAATAATAAATATTATCACTTCTCAATATAATTAAAATTACGCATGAGTTATATTAATAAAATGGTTTACTTTGAATAGATTTGATAAATCTTATTTTTGGTCAGAAGCAATTCGTGAACAATATTTTATATATGTTATTCATGACTACATGAAAGTAATCCTGCTCAGATAGAAAGTATAAAAGTTTTGCATCTTTTGTTGCTATTCTTTGGTGCAGTTCAAAATATTTTTATTTTTCTGTTCTTAGCTCTTCCTCCTCAATTGTAGCATATAATTTAGTGTGGTCACTAGAAACAAATCAAGGGGGACCAGGCTTGG